GGTAGGGTAATGCCATGGGCTGGGGGGAGAGCTCTACCTGTGGGGATGAGTGAGGGAAAATAAGGGGAGGAGGTTGTACATATCCAGGCCCTCTCTCCCACCTGCCCAGAATGGTGAGGAACTTCTCGAGCTCTGCAATGGTCCATAAAGATGAAGGGATATCCGAGGAGGGAAGAGCAAAGTTAGACGGTGTTGGGTTCTCTCAGAGCCATCCTCTCCAAGTCTAGCACATGGGCCCTGTGTCCCCATGTTGGGGACAGGTCTTGCAAATACTCTGTGCATTGAACCAGAGACAGCAGATGAATGTTCCAGCAGAAAACTCACTACAGAAACTCCTGGCATGCTGCAGTGCTCCATCCTCATCAGTGACATCACGGCCTTGAGCACATCGTTATGCTGTGCAGCTGAGGATGGGAACCTGCAAGGTCACTGTGAAATCTCCTGAGGACACTCACAGCAGTATGGACACTTTAAGGACATTCTGGGACTAGGTTGAGGAAGGAACAGTACCTGGGGACTCTGCCCAGGAAGCCACTCCTGAATATCTCCTTCACCCATGGTTGCAGCTCAGCATCTCTTTGGACAAACTCATCACGTGCATCACAGCGATCAGTGATGACAGAGACAAAGTTGAGTCAGGGAGAGAAGAAAGGGCTGAAGTGAGTAGAGAGGAGGCCAAGAAATGGCCTGATTTAAAGAGTAGGGCTGTCCCAGGGTCCAGCTCCCCAGCAGCAGGGAACACATTGGGAAAGAGATACACCATGATCACCACAGTAGTTTTCCGAATAGCAGTGCTCTCTAGTTAGCAGCTATAGTTCACCTTTCCGGTGTTTTAGTGTAAGGAGTTCTTTTTGTTCAGATCATAGGTGTGTAGAGACATTTTAGAAGTCCTAAAATACCTGAGCTGCGCGCCCAGCGCTGCCATAATGAAATAGGAGCTACAGAGACCCTACGCTGCTTCGAAAGGGCAGCTGGGGCCAGATGGGACAGTTTGGACCTTGGAAACTACAGGATAAATTGCTAATGCTGAGGCACTGGAGAGAAAAAAAATCCAAGGTCTGTCCTAAGGGAATCACTTCTCTCTGACCCTTTGGACCAATATGACAAGTCTCTTCCTTTCTTTTTATCACCCTGTCTCTGCCTTTCCTCCTCTCCCAAATTCTACCTGGCCAAAGCTGTCCAGGGTTTCATCCCATCTTCTCTGTAATAATAGCTGGGAATAGAGTCTTTGCTTAGTTCTGTTCACAGGCAATGAACGGAAATAAGTACCTCCTCAAAGCATCTTGAGCACCTGGTTTTGGAGAATCTGTTCTCCAAAAATGCTTTTTTTCTTTCTTTCTTTTTTCTGTCTGTTGGTCACCAAGGGACTAGTTCAAGAGGGAGGGCAGAGTTTCATGGGTAGCTGAGGTCAAACTCAGTGTCCTCTACTGATAAATGCATTAGGTTAGGATAAGATTTGGAGATATGGGGCTGAAAAATGATCATCTGAAAGATCATTTTGACTTTGCAGCTACTGTGAATGCTCTGTTCTACCCCTTCCTTTTCTGATGAAGCTTTCCACCCAGAAAGCAGCAGAGATAAGAAATTATTCCAGCTCTTAGCAGTGGAAGGATCCCACATTTGATCTACTTTTCTGTTCTCTGCAGCTGATAAATCTCTTACTCTCTTGAGTGCTTTCTACTGAAACACATTTCAGGGTATAGAAACTAGACTAGATATTTGGAAGTTATACTCAAAGCAATTGGAATATGAACCTTGTTTTCTTCAAGGGCCGTGGCCAGGAAAGAGAGGATGCTCTGGTTAATACTGAGCTAGAATGTTTCTTAAAGAATTTTGTAGAAGGACAGGTATTCCTGAGGGTGGATAAGGAGATTGATTAGGATGTTTTACAACAGATAAAAAAAACAGTCTCCTCTGAGAAGACAACCCAATCACTGAAAAATGTGCCTACAGGAACGCAAAAAAAAGTATGGTTTGCAGCAAAAGACAATTTCTATTAGAAAAATACAGAATAACAGACACACTGGGATGATAAATATTCCTGTCTCAAGAATTTCCAAAACCCTGACCTCACCATTAACCACTGCTGAAAATATAGAAAGGATCAGTGATCAGAACAATTTTACTAGTGTTTGAGGCAGGAGAACACAAAAGCCATTGTACCAAGCAGCATCAGGGACAGGCACCTCTTCCCAGGGCACATGCAGACCCTTCTGCAGCTCCCCTGCACCCGGTGCAACCTCAGCCCGAGCGCTTGGCACACGGGTCGAGAGCGCTCTCATGCCAGGGAAGGCTATTTGGGAATGACCAGGCTGGAGAATATCACCTCCGAGAGAGAGGGCACTTGGCTTCCTTCTGATTCCATTTCATGTGCGGAAGCGCTTGACATCCGAGCGAGTGCCCTGGGCTCTGAGCTGGGCCCAGGGATTTCCCTGCACTGTGCACAGAGAGTGCCTGGACTCATGGAATGCTGAAGGTTGGAAGGGAGCTCTAGGGATCATCCAGTGCAGCCCCCTGCACACGCAGGGTCACCTAGAGCACGTGGCACAGGGCTGCGGCCAAGCGGGTTTGAAGATCTCCAGAGAAGGAGACTGCACAACCTCTCTGGGCAGCCTGTTCCAGGGCTCTGGCACCCTCACTGGGAAGGAAGTTTTCCTGAAGTTCCTGTGGAACTTTTGGTGCTTCAGTTTGGGGCCATTTCCTCTAGTGACTCGCTGCTCACACGCACGGTCCAGCAAGATTCATCCCAGGCCCTGGGACTTTGTTCACTGCTCCGTCCAAGCAAAACCCTCCCAACAAGGCAGAGCTTCCGTAGCTCCTGTTAATGGCAATTTGGATTCT